CAAACCACCTCTCCTGAGAATGGTATAAAAGCCTTTATTTGTAGCCATGAAGATAAGAATACACCACTTTTCTGTGTGTATGTTTATCATGTCTTCTTATATATCACACCCTGAGGAGACAGAGCTTGCAATTTTAGGAAGCACAAGGCAATTTAAGTGTGCCTGTACATACACTCACCTCTATTTGCATTGTTTCTTTGTTTTTTTTTAAAAAACATTGTAACAAAGAATCAAAGGACAGAAACACTTACCATACTTGACTGTTTGCCAATGCAGAAGAAAATGATGTAAAAATTGCTTGAGTTATCTAGATAATTACCCCAAATACTTTCATCTGAAGTGTAGGATAATTGTCTACATGCGACATGCATTTCCAATCCATCATCATGCTGAGAGACACAATATAAGCATTTTTCCTAATCAAGCAGGGGAGTATGCCAGAGAAACTATTTTCAAATCAAGCTGGAAATGCCTTTCACATAAAATGATGGCTGCCTTCACAAATCATGCCACTGCACTAGTTCCCAAGTAAACTGGAACTGGATGATAAGAATAAGGTTTTAATGATCAAAAATGTCAAAGAAATAATGAAAGGATATTTAGGGGATGATTCTCTCGTAATATTTGTGAAAACTCTGAAACATAAGTGGATACAGGCACGGTGGCTCTTATTTATAATCCAAACACTTAGGGTAGCTGAGCTATCCTGGGTTACATAGCAAGAGCTTAAATCCAGAAAGAAAAGAAGATGAGAAGAGGGGAAGGGAGGGAAAGGGAGAGGGAGGAATAGGAGGGAAAGGGGTGGGAGGGAGAGGAGCAGAGCGGAGAAAATTGCTACCTAGCTAAATCAGTCACACAAAATACCTATTGAAAATAACAAAAATTGGGAAAAATAGGAATCCTTAATGTATTAATACTGCTGAGGAACTATAGTTCATAAATTTATTCAATCACATCAGGATTTCCAGAGCAGAACCTAAATATCATAGTGCACATATGCACATGAGCACCTGTACATTTATACACAAATTTGGCCAAAAGAACAATTATTTTCCTTATAAATGTGTATGCAAGTTCCTGATGTACAGGTAAAAAATAGCCTTTGAATTTTTCATAAATTTATAGAAGTCTTCAGAGCCTTTTATTCACTACTACTGCTCCTACTGAAATTGGCACGCACTGCTGAACTTCTACACACATGAAAATAAAGTAAATAAGCCTGATGAGAACCTAAAAATATTCTGAACTCTGTGTAAATACAGTCATCTTCTATTCAAGTGCAGTATGACATCTGTATAACAAAATACATTCAAATACTTGACAGTATTTAAGCTTGCTACAAAATATGTAATCACAGTAAAGACAACATTCATTGTAACAAAGCAGTGACTAATGGTCATGCTGTCTCCTCCTATTTCTTGAGTTTGCATACTTCATACGACTCTGTGGCGTGAAGTATTGGGAATTTAACACAAGGTCATCACCTATATAGAGGCTATAGTTCAGTTATAACCGGAAGCGAATTTTCCATCACTCTGTATTTTAATGTGGAAAACAAGATGATTATATATCAATCTTAGATGAGTCAGTGTTAAGCATAATGCATAAATGAGTGTTTTTCCCCAGAGAGGACTACACTTGCTACACACCAAGGGAATCATAAAAGAGAAGTTAAAGAAGCAAATGAGGCAATCAAAATCCACTGGCTCAAAAACAATATTAAACAATGTACCATTATGCCATTTAGTGCATTAGAGATTCCCAATACATGATGTGATGCTTATAAAAGAAATACAAGCATACAGAAAAGTTATAGCTTAGAAATGCCATTTTGTTTTGCTAATCAAGTACAAACATCAACTTCACATTTAATTCTATTAATGAAGTGCTCAGTTGAGCAAAGACTACAATTAAAAATAAATATAAACCCAAATTCCTTTTGTAATGAAAAATGACACTGTTATGACAAGCTGGTAACTTATGAGTATACTGAAATCATGAACAGGAAACACTCCTGAGACTCAGCTTTCATGGCCACGTCTGCTGTTACAAGCAGACTTCATGCAGACTTCCTATAAGGACAGTTCCCCAAGAAATCGCTTGGGTTTCATAAGGTGCTAACAATCAATTTGAAAACAACTGTGAAAATCCCAACCCCGTGGGCTTCTAAACTCCATCCAAGTAAAATTTTTCTATCACAACAATCTGCACAACAAAGGTAATGTACTTGATCATCTGAAGGAAACACTTGTGTGAAGAGATACAATGGTGAATGGTAGGGTTTTAATAATCATTTGAGAGGAGTAAAGCTCAGTGGTTAAGCAGTTTTGGAAGCAAAAAGAAAGGGTTGGAATCCATGCCTGTATATAGGTAAAGGAACTAAATCCATGCAATTAATCTCCCTTACAGCTAATTTACCTTAATTTGATGACTAAAGTAACTCTTCTATTTCATTGACTATAGTGTAGACATAATCATAAAATAAAATAGGAATAAGAGTAAGTAATTGATAGCCTTACAGCACTATAATGACTAAAATTTACTGATCCTAATTTGTTAATAAAAGGACTAGAACACTGAATATTATAATAGCGAGGTTGAAATCAGGTAAGTGTAAACACATAGCTGATTGTTATGACACAAAAATGAACATTCACATAGTAGTATATCATGTAAAATTAGAATGTAAGAGAATCTAAAGATCTTGTAACACAATTTCTAAATTTTAAAGAACAAAGACTGGTGTGGTAGTGAAATCCTAGCAACATGATGGCTAAGGAAGCAGATTGCTGCAAGTTTGAGGCTAGCTTGGGCTAAACCAGTGAGTTCAAGGGTAGGCTGAACTACATACATAGCAAGACCCTGTCTCCAAGCAAAGCACAAAATTAATAAATGAATACATTTTAATGATCAATAATTTGAGACACAGGAAAGTAAAATGTCCTATCCCCGATTACAAAGTCACCTACTAAATCTGGTCCCTGTTTCTCCATGTAAACCAAATGTTCCTTATATGTATCAGTTTCTTCCTAAGTGGTCAGTAATATAAGGATAGCACTCATCAGTCCATTCTAAAAAGCTAATTTTGGAAAGCCAAAACACAATTCATATAATTAGGTTTGAGAAAATGGGACAATAAGTATGTACTTGGAAAAAAGAGCCATCTTTTAGTGTGTGCATTTAGTATAACTCAAGTTACTTTGGGACATGGACGCTCCAATTAGAATTGAAGAAAGACCAAATCTTACATGGGAATATCAAGTCAGATAATGGGAGAACAGAATTTAAGTTCTTTCTACAGATGAATTTAGCCAGCAATTTGGTGTAGAAGAAAAGGAAAAATTGGGTTTTAATGTAGCCATGGCAACTTTGTACTGCTACCAGTTTTTAAACTTGAGTATCAAAATGTTTCTCTTCCGCACTGGGTAGTCTTTATTTTAATAGACATAATGAGGTACATTGTGTTCTCAAGCTTCGGTATTGTGCAAATTCAACTGAGAAAGGGTAGACTTTTAAAGCCCCTTATCCATCTGTTTCCCCACTACATTCCAGGTAACTTTTTTTTTTTTTTTTTAACAAGCATCACAAAAGACCTAAGAACATTCACTTTGCTCCTGGAGAACAGTCAGAACTAAGTGTTCCCTCTTTCTGCACTCACAGACCACCACGAACACCTTTATCATAAATCAGATTTACTGTGCAGAATCCTCTGTAGCTATTTACTCCTTCGAGAACTGAGAGCCTGGTGAGCAGATATTTCATCTTATTTATGGCTGACTTTCCAGTGTCCATAAGAGAGCCTGCCAAAGAGTAGGTACTCAATCAATGTTTCATAAATAATAAAAATCAGATGGAGAAACTAAAGAATGACAGTCTCTCTGTTAAAGAAAAAGTAGCTCTTTAGTAAAAGATTCTATATGCAACTACGTTTGGAAACAATTCTGCGTTTTTAGATACTGGAACCTAAAAATTACTCTAAAAAGGAATCTCAAGTTATGACGAATGTCCACAGGTATAAATATAAGATATGAGAACTTTTAAAATTGCTTTCTTTTAATGGACTAAATTCGGAGGCATCATGCTGTCAATGTCCCATATAAAATGTTTTAGGCCTGTGGTGCTTCCTGAGGCAAAATCTGCATGGTGGAGCCAATAAGAAGAATTAAAAATACTGTGAGAAAAACTCAGACAGCACAAAAGGATGTCTGTATTAGGAAAATTCCACATTTTCAAGTGCTTTTCAAATTTAAAAAAATAACCTCTGAACCAACCCACAGAAAAGGCTTATGTAGGCCAATACAAATTCAATCAATGAAATTTCCTAACTTTACAACTTTAAAAAATTTTATAACCTAAAGATATTAAAGTCAAGGAAGAATGACTGATTTAGGTGGCACTCAACAAATATTCATTGGAAGACTGAGTGGATGAATATATGAAAGAGAGGACAAATGATGAGGGGTATCAAGGCCAACTCTGTATGAGAGACATTTACTCAAACCATTTAAAGATGTGGCTCCTCATTGCTAATGTTTCAAAAGTATTATCTTTTAAACATCAAAAAATGGGCTGGGGATATAGCTCAGAGCATGAGTGCCTGCCTAGCAAGTGCAAGGTCCTGAGTTTGATTCTCAGTACCCCCCAAAATGAATAAATAAGTAAACATCAAAACTTACACGGACAATTTATTTTATTTAAAATTACAGACGATTCACATGTTTTAAAAATAACAGAAGATATAAACAACATCCTAAAATAGTTTTAAACAAAAACAACTGAAAAGAACATTACTTAACTCTGAGTGCGTTATAAAACACCTAAGAGTGTGATCACATGAATATTCACTTTTACAAAACAGAATCATTTCATACAAACCCAGCTACTTTTAGTAGCATCTGTAGCTGTGGCTTAATTACTATGTTTTAATGAACAAAACAAGATATTTCATCTATACATCATCTACTTTGTATTCATTCTTTCTTCAATAAATGTTATTATAGGCAGCCCCTGGGCTGGAAACACCAGGCTCCATGCAACTTCCTGGCAGCCGTAAACCTTTGAGCCTTGAAAACCCAAGTTCAAGTATTGATTTTCTTTTGAAATATGATGCTTTACTCTTGTTTTAGAAGAAAAGATCACTGATAATTGATGCTGTGTGGCAAATTATGTAAGTATATCAATAATTATTTGACTCAAATTTTTGTGAGCTTGAAAATGCTTTTCAAGCAGTTTTTTGTTCAGTGTGTTTGAAATTGAGAAGTAGCAGAAAGATGGGAGAAAGGGAGGAGAAAAGTAAGAATGGGAAATTTAAATTTTAAAAAATTATGAATGTGATTGCAGTGATTATTTTATTTTAAATGACATGATTTTAAAACATAATTGTTTTTAAAACATTATTACATTGATATATACAAAAAAGAAGTAGAAACCCCCTTTTTAAAATCAGTACAATCAATATTATTTTCTAGCCCAAATACCCCAATGGCCAAAAACAGAAGTAATTGTCTTTGTGGTGATGCCAAAAGATGGCTCTACAGACCAGTTATGCTTTAAATTAGTGCGATTAAAGTAAATCATTTTCTGTTTTGTCAGTCACATAGTGGAATATGACTGATTTTTCTGCCTGTTAATATCACAGAAATAGAGGAGAAATTATGTAAAATTCTGAAGGTGCATTTCTTTCTTGTTATTTGACTATGTCATTCATTGGCAGATACTTAATTTTTTAAAATATTGTAATTGCTATTTCACATGCTATCATTCAACAGAAGTTATAGAAAGACACCTTTGACAACCATCAATTAACAATCCTTTGTTTAGGTATCCCAATTATTTTGTTGTTGCTGTTGTTTTGGTAACAGGAATCGAACTTATGACCTCACAATTGCCAAGCAGTGCTTGTGCCACTGAGCTAAATACTGAGGTAGATACTGGTCAACCAATTAAACTGATTAACTGAGTTGAACACCATCCTTGATAACAATAACCATATTATATATCTAGAATAATAATCTAATAAACCAATATCTATTAAAGAAATGATTTAACATTCCAATGCCAATGAATAATTCAATAATCTAATGAATATCAATACTTAATAATGACATGCTAGTTAAGGAATAAAGAAATACAAACAAATGATTCAGACACAAGTAGAGGTAACTGAAATTATCAGGAAAAGGTTCAAGGAAGGGGTTTGGTGCCAGACTTTGCACATTCTTCTCTCAGTAATACATGCTTATTATACTATCTTGGGATTTTGGTTTTGTATATTAGTCCCTTGTTAGTTAAACTTGTGTGAAACACATCATAGTCATTAATTCATTGACAAAGTTAATTTTACAAACTTGAAACTCTGAAGATCAAGGTAATACAAACTGTTCTTAAGAAATGAAATCATTGTACTAAGTAATGGTTTAAATCATCTCATTTCTCTATATGAATGCAGGATAGCTTTCTAGCAACAGGTGAGGGTGTAAGGAGAAAGCCTTGGTCCCAATCTCACCCCATCATGTATTAGCTGTGTGATCTCAGTAAGATAAGATCTCAGGTAGATTAAACTGTAGTAATGGAAGGTTTCAGTACCCTCACATTGAAAAGGGACAGGGAAATGAAGATGTATCTCACTAACTTTCTCACAAGCTCATTGTTTAACATAGTCAATGAATAAGAAAGAACTTTAAAAACTGTACAGCCCTAAGAGTAAAAAACTGTCATTACTGCCTTATTATCTTGCAAGAAAACCATGTCAAATAGTCTATTAGTGAAAGCACTATGATAATTTCCACAGACAGAAGAAAAATCAATATTGTAGTGATTAAACTTCTATATTCTCTATTGTGCTTCGCACACTGACAATTTCTTTTATAAACCAGACCTAAATGAAATTTGAATTTGTTCACTTCTAAGAATTCTTGTTTTCAAAAGTTTCCAGGATAAATCTAGCTTGATATGTGGCTATTTCAAGTATTTGGCTACATAAATTAATAAAATGGAGTCAGAAAAGAGTTTATAATTAAACATAAATATAAATTTTAAAAGATATTCACCAGCATAATATCAAAATAAAAAGCAACATTATTAGGTTATCAGTGCCCAAAGATAATGTGTCATCTTTAATATTTCCAATTTTCTGGCTAACATAAAGGAAGAGATGGGTGCTTCTTTGCTCAGCTGGAAAAGTGGATCCAGCCCACTGATTGGTAAAGGTTACAGTTTCTTTCCTTCTCAGCTGAGTAGTTTACAGGAATGCAAAAATATAGAAATATATTTTGTACTTTCTACCTAGGCTATTTCTGTGTTTTAGACATGAAGGGGTGATAGGTTTCTATATTATTTTATCCAGTTGCCTGTCCTGTATGCCTCCCATGGGCTCTTCTTATATGCAGTGGTGCTCATAAGGTTACTTGTGGCCCCTTTTCCAGACAGAAAGATTACTAAAGGAAGTGACTGTAACTCAGTCATCTTTTGTCTAGCTGTTAACTCCATAAGCTACACTCAGGAGATGCTCAAGAAACGTTGACAGAATAAATTAAAGAATGAGCTATGATTAAAATAGACTCCATTTAGATTTTACACAAATACAAGTAGCACACATTTTTGTAAGAGACTTACACAAGTTAAAGCAGTTAATGAATTCAGAAAATCAAACAAAATAATTACTTGAATTTTATCTAAAATGATCCATATGTAAATTTACTAATAAAATGCACTTAACATTTGTACAACACATTTCTTAAGCATCTACTATCCTTCAATTAATAACCCTAGTAGGAGCTGAGAATAAAAAGTCTAACAGATCTCAGGCTCTCAAAGAATTTGATGTGTGATGAGAGTCTAGGAAGTGATCTGGCAGGGATGTTACTAGCATCTGGGCAGGTAGGCAGCTCAGAGTGGGCAGGAGTATGTGGAAGAAAGGCTTCCAAGAGGAGAGGTGTTTCAAGTGACGTTTGAACAGTAAAAGTTCCTTTAAAACAAAGAAAAAAGCATACCGCAAAGCAAGAACAGGGGAAAAGACCAATATATCTACTGAGAAAGGAGATTACACACAGAAAAACAGAGAAAGATGGGGTAAACATGGAGAAAAACCAGGACCCCAGATTGAGGAAGGCTTCAGAGGCCAGTTCTATCACCAAAGGGCTTAGAATCTACTTAAAGTAGATTAGAAGAATAGCTGGAATATTCACTAAAAACATACACAAAAGAACTACAGATCAGCAAATAGATACAGTAATGAAGAAAACAGTAAATAAACCTTTAAGTTAAGGTAACTTAGTAGTTTTCTGAATATCCTGATTTAGTTTTTAGGCAAAATCAGCATTTATGAAAATAAAAGAGGCAAATCAAGTGTGACTTTGAACTGTATTTAAAATCTTAGGAAACAAGGGGGTTTTTTTTGTTTGTTTTTGTTTTTTGTTGTTGTTGTTGTTTTGTTTTGTTTTTATACTGGAAACAGTATTGTTTCTGTGTCTCCACAGAGACCACACCCCAGACATATTTATGTCTATGCTGAAGCACCAACCTCATCATATCCTCAGTCAGTACTGGGCAGAGATGAAAAAGGAGAGTATGCACAGACTATAGAATCCATTATTGTTGGGAGCAACAAGACGCAGGAGGAAGAGCCTCTCTGTGTGCCCACTTTCCTGCACAACCAAAGGGTGAGCTCGCCAGCAGTACAACTGGGCAAAGTATACACTGAAAAGTGGGAGCTATTTTAAAACCCTGTGCACATCACAATGGCAGCTTGTTTTCAGATTATTTTGCGGTGTAAAGACATTGGTCCATGTGAAAGAAAGAATATCAAAGTGCTTGCTTTGCTGATATAATAAAGTTGCTTTTATTAGTGACTAATGGAACATAAATTATTCTCCAGAATAAATAAAACAGTCAAACGTTAATCTAAATTTCAGTTAAAGATCATAATGCCCTGGTAAATTTACAGTAAGTAAGTTAATACCTTTTCAAATATGTAATATTCAGGTAACTTTATACAAAAGAGACTATGGAGATAAGTGTGAATGAAAGTGAGAAATCCAGCTAATGTCACTACTTGGAGTTCATTTTACAATCTTTTTCTAATTTTATCTCCTAAGAGCACAAGGAACTATAGTCTAACTCAGCTGATTGTAACAGAATAGTACTATTTATGACCTTTGCATTTTATCCTTTGAAGAGTAAGAAATAAGCCATCATCATTGAAAGACTGTAAAAAATATACTAAAATTAAAAGTAGAAGTAAGCAAAAATTTGAAGTAACAGAAAAATTCTGGAGGAATTTATTACATTTCATGAAACTTCAGCCTCCTAAAGATTAAATTTGTCAGCCTGTCCAATGTCTGGACCAAGATCTCTCAAGAACAGTCATAATCTCAGTCAGCAAAATACACTGAAATAACTGTAGACCCTAAGAGTATCATTTACCTATGAAATAATTAGATATAGTCCATGGATATTAATTGTGGTTGTTTCCTTTGTACTAATAATTTTTCTCTTTTTTCTTTTACTGTTTATTTTGTTTCACTTAGCATAACGCTGCTGTTCCTGCAAGACTGAACAACCATGGGATCTGAATAGTACAATCCTAAATAAATGAATTGCTCAATTTCCTGTGATCATCTATACATACACCATCTTCAAAAAGTACGTCGATTTTCTATCATCAAGGAAACAGTGACCTCCTTTCATCCAATATGCATGACATTTTTGGTCAATACAATTGTGGCACTCACACTTATATCCATGAAGAAAAACTCCACAGTGCTTTGGCATTCATCATTTGACAAATGCAAGTATTTTCTGTATCAGTCAGCTCTTACTGAACTTAATAGCAACTGTGGAATCCTTAAGGGCCCATTAAATTTCTGAAGAAGAAAGCTAAGATGAAGGACATGCCACTCCAAATTCATGTGCTACTTGGCCTAGCTATCACTTCACTAGTACAAGCTGTAGATAAAAAAGTGGACTGCCCACACTTATGTACATGTGAAATCAGGCCTTGGTTTACACCCAAATCCATGTATATGGAAGCATCTACAGTGGATTGTAATGATTTAGGTCTTTTAAATTTCCCAGCCAGATTGCCTGCTGATACACAGATTCTGCTTCTACAGACTAACAATATTGCAAATATTGAGTATTCCACAGACTTTCCAGTAAACCTTACTGGCCTGGATTTATCTCAAAACAATTTATCTTCAATCACTAATATTAATGTAAAGAAGATGTCTCAACTTCTTTCTGTGTACCTAGAGGAAAACAAACTTACTGAACTACCTGAGAAATGTCTGTCTGGTCTGAGTAACTTACAAGAACTCTATATTAATCACAACTTGCTTTCTGTAATTTCACCTGGAGCCTTCATTGGCCTACACAATCTTCTTCGACTTCATCTCAACTCAAATAGACTGCAGATGATCAACAGTAAGTGGTTTGATGCACTTCCAAATTTAGAGATTCTGATGATTGGGGAAAATCCCATCATACAAATTAAAGACATGAACTTTAAGCCTCTTATCAATCTTCGAAGTCTGGTTATAGCTGGTATAAATCTCACTGAAATACCCGATAATGCCTTGGTGGGACTTGAAAACTTAGAAAGCATCTCTTTTTATGACAACAGGCTTATTAAGGTGCCCCATGTTGCTCTTCAAAAAGTTGTAAACCTCAAATTTTTAGATCTAAATAAAAATCCTATTAATAGAATACGAAGGGGTGATTTCAGCAACATGCTACACTTAAAAGAGTTGGGGATAAATAATATGCCTGAGCTGATTTCCATCGACAGTCTTGCTGTGGATAACTTGCCAGACTTAAGAAAAATAGAAGCTACTAACAACCCCCGATTGTCTTACATTCACCCTAATGCGTTTTTCAGACTCCCCAAGCTGGAATCACTCATGCTGAATAGCAATGCTCTTAGCGCCCTGTACCACGGTACCATCGAGTCACTGCCAAACCTCAAAGAGGTCAGCATTCACAGCAACCCCATCAGGTGTGACTGTGTCATTCGTTGGATTAATATGAATAAAACCAACATTCGATTTATGGAGCCAGATTCACTGTTCTGTGTGGATCCACCTGAATTCCAAGGCCAGAATGTCCGACAAGTGCATTTCAGAGACATGATGGAAATCTGCCTCCCTCTTATAGCTCCTGAGAGTTTTCCTTCTAATTTGGATGTTGGAGCTAATAGCTATGTCTCTCTTCACTGTCGAGCTACTGCAGAACCACAGCCTGAAATCTACTGGATAACGCCTTCTGGTCAAAAGCTCTTGCCGAATACTCTGACAGGCAAGTTCTATGTCCATTCTGAAGGCACACTAGATATAAGTGGTATCACCCCAAAAGAAGGGGGCTTATATACTTGCATAGCAACTAACCTTGTTGGTGCTGACTTGAAGTCTGTAATGATAAAAGTGGATGGCTCTTTTCCCCAGGATAACAACAGTCCTTTGAATATTAAAATAAGAGATATTCGGGCCAATTCAGTTCTGGTGTCATGGAAAGCAAGATCCAAAATTCTCAAATCCAGTGTTAAATGGACCGCCTTTGTCAAGACAGAAAATTTTCATGCTGCCCAAAGTGCTCGGATACCAGCTGATGTCAAGGTATATAATCTTACTCATCTAAACCCAGCCACTGAGTATAAAATTTGTATTGATATTCCCACCATCTATCAGAAAATCAGAACACAGTGTGTAAACATCACCACAAAAGCTTCAGACCTGGATCGAAAGGAATATGAAAAGGGTAATACCACGATATTAATGGCCTGCCTTGGAGGCCTTCTGGGGATTATCGGTGTGATGTGTCTTTTCACCTGCCTCTCTCAAGAAATGAACTGTGATGGCGGACATAGCTACATGAGGAATTACTTACACAAACCTACCTTTGCATTCAGTGAGCTTTATCCTCCTCTGATAAACCTTTGGGAAGCAGGCAATGAAAAAAGTACATCTTTGGAAGTGAAAGCAACGGTTATAGGTGTGCCAACAAATATGTCCTAAAATTTTTTTTAAAAAACAATAAACGTATTTCAAAGAAAAACTCAATATTGAAGTTGTGCTAAAAAATAGAAAGAGAAATAATACTTTCTATAAAGAAAGTTAAGATTCACCAATGCTGCTTCTGACCAGTGGAAATATGTACAAGTTCAGCATTTTAATTAACTGGCTTCAAAGGGTACAGTGGCAACCAAATAAAATAATTCCATTTTCTAGAACTTTCATGTAACTTTTATGTCTGGACTACAGTTAAAGTGGACAAAAACATTTCTGTATTTTTTTTAAGTATATAAGAGTAGTTGAACTGAGCAATACCTCCTCCTGTGTTGTATTACACATATTAGCCACGAGTTTTTGCAGTGACCAGATAAAATTAATTGACACGTGGTGTAATAAAAAGGACAAATTCTGTAGAGTAGACACAGTGAGTATGTGGACCTCTTTTATAAGGAAAAATACATTTTGGATTAAAATCAATTGCTTTTGTCTTGTTTTGTTTATAAATAAAGAATAATTTCTGGGAAATAACTGATCAGACATTCAAATTAAAGTTTTCAAGTGTTTTCCATAACAAAGTTTGGAATGCTAAGAGTTACACACTTTAATGGGTTATGTAACTACATTTTAATGATGCACAAATGGAACTTAGCATTTAACCAACATTAAAAAGGAAACATAATATTGTATTTAATACTTTATTGACTAAAACACATCTCCCAGGAAATTATATGTTCACTTTAAGGTTTTCTTAAAAAGCAGCCCTGGAGTGGAATTAATCATTAAGTTCAGATAATGTAAATTCAATATCTGAGAAATTTGTCTTATTTTAATAATTAAGAGTAGCATAGCTTTAGCTTGCTGCTTCTGCAGAGACTATTACCAAATATCAGTAGGACTTATGATCTATGTATAGTTTTCAGTTCTCTCTATGATTTTAAACACTTATTGAGCCTCACTAAAATAAATAAATAATTTTCTGCTATGATTCAGTAATAGCAAGGGAACATGTTCCATTTGAAAACTAGGATTTCAGAATTTCATCATAAAACATATTGGATTAGTGAAAAAGTTTGTCAGATTGAACTTTATGGAATTCTGCTTTTATTTTGTTCATCTTTGTGTAAAAATTATATAATTGGGATAATTCTAGAGTTCAATAAAAACTTGAGAAGACAGTTTGTTAACTGAACACTTCCGAAACTAATTTAGAATAAAAGAAAACATTATAGTGCAGTTCTCCAAGAGTATATATGTAAGGTGCCTAAATAACACAGTTTAAAAATTCCAACTCACTGAAATGAAGTGCCAAGAACTTTACTAGTTGTTTCAAAATATTATATAGAAAATGAAAGAACTTCATGTAGGGGAGGGACTAAGATCATTGAGAGTTTTATTCATTTTTACCAAAAAACCTACCACAATGTTATAAAATAAATGTAGTTTTGTACAAAGAAAAGCACTCTGAGATAATAGAAAATTTTGCTAATAAGCTGTAGTTTTTAAATGCAAGATACTTATCTCTACAAAACTACATGACTTCCATGTTAATTGCAGTTGTGCCTCCTAACAGGTGTTTAACTTTTCTAACAATAGCTTGATGCATATTATCAGTGTGTCACTGGCCTGTAAACATTTCCACCACTGTAGTCAAATCAATTTATTTGTTACTATTAGACATTTGTTTCGTGACCACCTTGACAGATTCTAATTAAATCCTAGCTGTTTTTGACAATGTGGAAGGTAATTGTTATGAACTCTTTAAAATGAAAGGACAAACTGTGTTAATTTCAACACAACCAAATGTAGAACTCGCTAATTTAGTGTATTTCCAAAACACACATTTTACAACCTGATGAATCACTATCACACAGACATTGACATTAGAATTCATCAGCAAGACATGCTCATACATCATGAAAGGTTTCAGCACCACTGACAGAGCTCTTTGGAGCTCAGCTATTTGTCAAAAATACATGGGCTGAAATATGACCTATTAGGTTGCGAGTATTGTATAGATCAGCAAGAAGTTGAGCAGATATCTTCTGCGTTTCTTTTAAACTTATCTTCATGAAAAACAATCACAAACATATCATACAGCTGAGAATGCATTTCCAACTACCTATCTCCTATGAAAATTGTTATGAAACAAGCTGCCAAGACATCAGAGGAAAATATTTTTAATAAAAAGAATGGTATTTCATATATTGCCTCCTAAACCTCAGCTAAATTTAAGTAATGGTCAGAGTACACAAAACATACAATTTTCTTACAATAAACAAAACTGTAAAGTTGATACCTTTATGAATGCCAATTGATCAACCTATATGGAGAAAGGTGCCCTTCACAAAAATGATTTTTAAGAATTATGTATTTTCTAGTTTACACTACAAAACAAAATTTCCATTTTGTGAAAAGAAGTCCAATTGAATGCAAAAATACAGTCACACACTGTATAAATAAGTTTCAATCAACAACAGATTGCAGATGCAAAACTATTCTCACAAGACTACAATGGAGCTGAAAAATTCTCAGCTCATGATGTCCTAACTGTCCTAACATCATAGCACAGTGCATTCTTTATCTGATGATTCTGATATAAACAAACCTACTGTGTTATCTGCTGTATAAAACTATAGCACATACAATTATATGCAGAAAATAATACTTGGTAAAGGCAACAAATGATTATATTAATGATTTATATATGTAATATGCTTTGTTAGTATTTTAGGATACAGTCACACTTATAGTTTATTATAAAACAATACTCATGTTATGCTGGAAATAGCCTCATATAGCTCGTGTTTACCATGGATCTAGATTGAATCAAGGCCACATGAGGAGGCCTATACCACTAGGGTTTGCTTAAGTACATTATATGATGCTCACACAATACTGAAGTCAACTGATGATGCATTTCTCAAAACAAAACATATCCTTTACCTAGGCATGACTGCATATGAAAACAGTGTGGAGTAAAATGTAACAGCAATATACTATCACTTTCCTAGGAAAAAAATGAAACAGATCTCAGTTTTTACTCTATTTAAACAGAAAGTCTTTAATCCAAACTATGAATAGTGAAGCAAAATTTGGAAACAAAATTTTATCTTTTATTTATTTTTAAGAAATACCAATTTTAAGGCTATTAGTCATTGGAAAAACAGGATTAAACAAAACAAATCCCCTCTACTCACCTAATGGCTTACATCTTACTGAATTTTATTCTGGTTCTTTTTTTTAAAAATTTTATTTTAAAGAAAAAAACTAAAACAAACTTCCATAACAAGATAATAGGAGGTAACAATGGTTAATATATTGGTTATTGTTATCATCAGAATAGTTCTCAGAATACAGATATAGGCATGAAAGAATTGTTCACACAACATTAGCACAACTTTTCTATTAAATGAACTAAGAGAAATTAGTAATATAATTATCAAGGAAAAGAATCTGGGATGGGGAAATGGAGAAAAGAGGGAAATAAAAAGGCATATATATTTATCATTTCCTTTATCAATGTTTTTGTACAAATTGAGTATGAACTGTGATACTTAGTAAAGTCTCAGCCTTGCTTCATAATTTCACAGAATGGTAACACTCAGAAAATCACAGGATTTTTTTTCTTGGTCTAAATGTTTTACTCATAGAACTATGTTAAAGTAAAAATGTTGAATTTATTTTTGATTTCTATTTACATATTAAAAATAGCCTAATGCTATCCTTAAAGTTATTAAATTAAGAGGCTCACCTACTTACTTTAAGTTCTCATAAGAAAAACACAAATAACTGCCACATTTCTCCTATTTCAAACTCAGACTCTGATCACCCAAGAAAGTAGGAAATTAAATTCAAAAAGTAACATAACATTGAAAAACATTCATCTTTTCAAGAATAAGAATCATTTTGCCCTGCCCATACTCTTATAAGATTTTTCTACTGTCTATGAAAGAAAACTTTAAAACTCTTACTAAATGGAACCACATTTCACTGGACTCTATTTAATTCATTTAAAATCAAAGTGATATGTCAGACACATAAAATGAAAATTTAAAATAACAATTTAAAAGTACATATTGATTAAAAGGAAAATTTCCAATAAATTATTTCTGACACTCTCAAAATATTAGGAAAATTTTTCTGATTGCACTTGTCACTATTAATGATATCTTAATCTTCACCCCAGTGTTGACTTTCCAGGAGAATGGGGCATAATTAATAGATACTGAGGTCTGGCCCATAAATTCCTGATCCAATATTAGTTTTTAAATTTTTCAAGATAAATTTCAACCCATAATTAAAGGATTTTGTGAAGGATAGGATCGCCACAGATATGTCTACACTGTATGTCCAATTTGGGATAAGTTAAGCAGAGAAAAGTACAGTTATATAATTTTTCATACCTGGTCCTATAGCTCTACTTTGATGATATCTTTACTAATACATCAATAACCAGATTATTGCTTGAGGGAACTAGCACTGTAGTGGAATGCAATGGATATGCTTACAATCAAGTGGTATGAATACTGTGGAGTTCTAGAAACAGAAAGAACTTGATCCCAGTGTCAATACAATAGTGACTGCATTTATGCATTTATTTGAAAAGTTACAACTTTATTTTAAAGATAAACATGACCTAGTTTTACTTTATTCCTCTGATTCAAGGGAAAAATATAAATAATACTTTTACACAGGAAATCAGAGTTAATAGTTATAAACCATGTATCCCATAATGAGAAAAAAGCATTAAAAGAGAAATTTTAAAGACTATTCTAGAAAAATATAAACTACTTCCAAAACATGGCCTAATGATTTCATTAATGATACATGTATGTGTTCATGAAGTGAGTAGTAAGTACAGTATTTTCAGCTGAGAAGATACATTATAAAATAAGAACACAACTCCTTTTTATTCCTGTTAAGAAGGTACGGACCCATAGAGATATAAACTTACCTATTTTAACTCAATATTTCACAGGACACTTGATTCATCTTTGAAATAAGCTACATGGCATATAACAACTAAAGCATTAGGAACCTCATAGAAAATCAATAGGATTTCTTTTAAATTGCAAAATGAGATCTTCAAGTAAGAAATCAATTCAGTCCTAATATCATTTATGACTTAAATGTATCATGAAGTCAACCAGCAAAAAAACACAGCAAAAAACATTGTGATGGACCTCAGTAAGCCTTTTAGAAGAATGAACTATAATTATATTAGGAGAACTCACAGTACTTTGTGTGTTTATGGTTATCTTTTCTAAGTCTGCTATATCTTTGGAACACTAACAGTATTATGTGACCATTGTAAGAAAAATCCAGCTTCTCATTAAAACATATGATTCAGTGCCCGGGGTTATTGATTCAAAATCCAATTGTGATACCCACTTATAATGTTTATCAACCTCTGGAACAAACAACAGAGTAAGCTGGAGACATAAATTGACCTTCTTAAACCTCACACTGAGAGAATTTGAGAGTAATATAATGACCTTCCTATTCCTAGCAGTATAATCCTCAAGGCTGGTAAAAGAAAGAAACGGTTCCTAAAACTACCGATATGCCATGATTAAAGCAATAGAGCCAAACACACCCAAACAGTTGTTCAAAAAGTATTACAGTAAATTGAAATTCATTGTCAAGACTGGGATAAAGGTCAGAACCTCTGCTAAATACCCTTAAATAATGGTTACAGAAAAGATCTTTCCTGTCTCTAAAATAGCTAAAAGCCTGTAACCTTCCCATGCCTGTATTCTAGTCAGTTAATATAAACCAACATCCACTATGTAACTTTCATATCAAGGCATTCATTTTACTAGTGTTTTCAAACACACACACACACACACACACACACACACACACACACACACATGTATTCATGAACTGACAGAACTACATAATGCCAACAAGGCAATTGGAACTTTTGAATTTAAAAAGTTCTGCCCAAGAAATATCAAAAATTAAAAAATAGTAGGGAACAAAACATTCCTTTTGTACTAAATAATTCTTTTCTATATAAGTCAATGGAAATTAAATAACTATAGCAGAAAAAAAGAACTACATAAAAAATAACTATGAGGAGCAAAAGGAATTAGGCTTCTTTTCAATGGACAACGAGTATCAGCATAGGTCTAGTATTAAAGTGACAATGCAATATTTGAGATATTTTCCTGGCACATAAAATCCATGATATTTAATAAATATATTGTTAACATATTACATTTGAATAGATATGCACTCATATTTACTTTAGTGGAAAACTAAAAACAAGAAAACAGGAGGGAAGAAAGAAAGGAAGGAAGGAAAAAAGGAAGGAAGGAAGGAAGGAAGGAAGGAAGGAAAGAAAATATGAGGGAAGGGAAAAATGAAATGATTAAATGCTAATTTATGCCTGGATAACAATTTCTGATGGTCTTAGAAAAGTCCCCTGAAAGTCTCAGAAAAAAAAGAAGAAAGAAAAAACATTTTCAAAACCATCATGTATCATCTAACTATGTGGCAGAAATACCGGTAGTTTTTATACCTTTCTTATATATGGGCATATGTATGACACTTATACCTAAATAGGTTGTTTATATACAAATTCATATATCTGCACATACATGTAATTACAACTCAATGAATTCAATCCCCATACCCTCATTTTAACATTCCTGCTTTAATATATTAATCTCAGAGAAATTAAATGATTTTTCCCTAACACAGAGCAAAATGACGAAGAAACACAACAACTATGAGAAATAAAAACACATAGATACTCTATAAGCTTGTTATAGTCTGCAAAAATAATTAACTGAATTGCACATTAGTTCTAGATGATTTGGGGGTAGGGAACAACCATCAGTAATACACTAGATTTATTCATTGTTCCTATTACCACCTAAAGATTCCCTTTAGTGTGTTCCTATATAAGATTCTTACATAAGTTTAGTATCAGGTTCCCATTTGACTACCACATTTTCTCCTGTGATAGATTTTAGTGGCTATGCTTATGGGAGAGATGAAAGTTGCCATGATCTGAAGAGGGAGGACTTTTCAGTGCCCTCCTCCTATATGGAATGGCTGAACAGAAGAAAAAAAAAAGTTTAGTATCAGGAATTGGGGCTAAAAGACTCTTTTATGACAATATTGAGCAAAAGACAAAGAGCATTGGTTTATCAAAAGACATTTGTTCGAAATAATAATATCTACACATATTTTTATAGATAAAAAATTTTAAGTGGGTATATTCACCAAATATCCAGTAGGTGCAAGGCTAGAAACTTTTCAGTACTTTTCTCTGCTTTTATTTCTCTCTGTATACCCACTTTACAGTTCCAATATATACAGTGGTACCTCATTTCATGAATACTTTCATTTGTAAACAATTTTGTTCACAACAGAAATGTTTGGCAAAATTTTGTTTTTGCTGGCAAACTGCATCAGTTGACAATCACAACTGCCACAATCTTCCTCACACATACACAAAAGTGGCCATCTTTTCCAAAATTATAGAACAAGTTAAGTTCATGAACCAAGGTACCACTGTTTAAAGTTACCTTAATTTTGTTACAGAAAAACACAGGGTGGTAAATCGTCTGGAAAACCTGCTTTCCAACACGTTCATCATGCACAACTTGATGTTAGAAGGCTCAGCCTGCATAAAGAGTAAAGTTGAGAAAACAAAAACTTCTTCCTTTCGACCCACTGCCACCAACCCCACTCTGTGAGTACTGGTACCACCGACACCAGAGCTCCAGAACACTGGAGTACCTTCACACCACCAGCTCACAAGTCATCACGCTCTGACGGAGTTTGACTTTGTCAGCTACCATAATTCACTGCAAACCTTAGGCACTCAGAAGAACTACTTCATGAACACTGTAGTTCTAGAGAATAAAATTATTTCATATATGCGATATGCGTTGGACCTTAAAATAACATGTGATTAAAACCTACAGGGTACTGTATGGCAAGGTTCCCATCCATACTAGCCATGAAAAGAAACAAGGTGGTTCTTAAAAACAAACACACATTTGGGGCTGGAGGCATCCTCGGTGGTAGAGCATTTGCCTACCATCTGCGGGCTCCTGGATCCTACCACTCGGCAACACAAAGCAAAGCAAAACCCTTATCAATAGGTTAGGGACATTTTATGATATTAAATTGGCACAAAGAGATAATTTTATGTCTACAAAAGTTCTTTGCTATTCAAAAGTATTAATTTTTACTTGCAGCTATTTGAAAGTTACTATGCCAAGCAATGTTCTCACCCCAAATGATACACTCCTGCTAGATTGTAGTTGCTGTTGTTTTTTCAATGAATCATGTGTTTTTTTAATGAATCAATGGTAGTCCTTCTTCCAAGGGGTAAGATTTGGAAAACAGAAGCAGAATGTTTTAAGCAAGGAGACAAAGAGTGGCCCATGTTATCCACACATGCATTTTATTCATTCACTGTTGAGGAGCTACTATATATGAGGCATAATAATAGCTATAAAGATTCAAGATTGACTGTGATAAATATCTTCAGACATCACAAAACTTAGAGTGAAAAGTCACAGATAAACAAATGAATATGGCAGAGTATTGTAATTATGAAAACTATAGAAACAATTTACACATATTTGGGATACAGAGTATTCAAAAGGGCCTGATCATTATACATCTCCTAATTACAGGGCAGAGAAATATTGGGAGCAGACTAGAGATAGACTGAAGAATTTTAATAAGATAGCATATGAATGACTGGAAAGAAGTACTGAGGGAGAGAAGATCAGGCATTGCTAGAGATTTATAATAGGGAGATGCCCAGAGTCAGCTTGTAAGCCAAGTTTATCTGTTGACAAACATGGCAGAAATTACTATCCCAGTGGAAAACGACCATGCCAAGACTAACATAACAGGAATTATTTTCTGTATTTCAATCCTCTCTTACAATCTATATACTTCAGCCACCATCTCTCATTTGATCCACCATAGCTAGGAATAGAAAAGGAAACAAAAAATAGACACAGGCATAAGCGATGCTCCATCTTAAGCTTCCCGTAAGCCGAAGCCACACAAAGGCACACACTCAGCACCTCGCAGGCCCACACTCAGAGACACACGTCCTTTATCTTCAGCGTGACAGTAGTGTAGTATTTGTAAATAAATGGAAGAGATTCTAGATATCCTGGGGAGTTTTTGTTTGTTTGGTTGTTTCTTAACTAGTGTTTTGGCTTTGATTTGGGTGTTTTTATGCCAGAGATTGAACCCACGTCCTGGTGCACGCTATGTAAGTTCTCTACTACTAAGCCACATCCCTTCTTATTAAAAACAAAATCAAAAACAAAAACTCCAAATGCAGTGTAAAACGTAGGCTATGTCTTTAAACTTAAATTTGTCTAGTTCTATTTCCTATGTCAATTGTATTGATCTTTCCAAAGTTTCATGTATATGTTATAAGGTTTTAACAAATACGCAAATATACAAACAGATCCAGGAAAACCAAAAAAAATGTAGCACATCTCATTTCTCTGGACTATATTTTTATGTAACATCAGACATACTTTTAACTACCTAGATCACCTAGATATCCCTTTCTTCAAATAGTATTTAAAAATTATCTTCTAGCATGTATCCAATTGGGACCTTGTATCAAAACATCTTAAAATAGGACAGAGAATATGCAGAGGTACTGACCCACATAAATCAGACACTCACGTTGGATTTTCTAGTTTTCCACCACCATGTTCTCTTAAGAATAGTTTACGAGGAGACCAGGGGATGGACAATGGGAAAGGGTAAAACAGGTCAAGGGCAGGACTGAGTGGAGAGAATAAGTACAATAAATATATGTCATGTATAGGAACTTAACATCAATGTAAGATAAACATTATGTGCCACAAACATGAGCTGATTAATAATATCAGTAAGAATGAAAAGGGAAAAAGAGGAATTAGAGGAGGGAAGAAGGGGGAAGGGATGAAGAGGGGATTTAGAAAAAGAGGAATCATGTATCATGCACATGTGTCGCTCCCCAAGATGATTATGTAATGCACTGCAAACACGTACTAATAGAAAAATTCAGCACAGTTACACTATTCTAAAGCATGCCCCCTAAGCCCCGTGCACTCAAAGGCTAAGCTTGTGGAAGGAGACTGGATTATGGAGATGTCACAGGTAGGAGGTAGAGCCAGGTGCGGGAAGGTCACTTGGGTTGTGACCTGGAAGTTACACCTCCTTCCTGGCTCCTCCCTTCTCTCTCTGACTCCCAGCCACCATAATGCTGCAGCTATATCCCCTCCACGATACCCCTCTGCCATGCCATTTCTGCCCTGGAGAAATGGCAGCTATGAATCAGCTATGAACTGTGACCATGAACCAAAATAATCCTCTTCTTTCAGTTGAGTGTTGGGCACTGTGTCTCAGATACAAGAAAGCAACTAAGACAAATATGTTATTTCATAATATAAAATAATTTTGATACCAGTTTATCTTATTACCAAAGTAACATGTAACATACAAAGTAACATGTAACATACAAAGTAACATGGCTATACAAAATTACGTACAGAAAAGAGGGCCTTGTACTGTGCCTTTCATTTACTCTTAGAAAATCCTGCCATTTGGCGTCTGACAAAATTTATAATTTTGTCTGTGCCTTCCTTATTCAAAACAAAGCCTGCGCATACCTTAAGAATGATACCAAAGACTTCCGATCTCAGAATGAAAGCAGACTTTATCCTGTCATTTTCCAACCTAGCACTCAGGACCCCAGTGACATGACCAACAGATACACCACCCTCTACTAGCTCAGTCCTTTGGATGTCAGTCCTTTACATTTTTTCTAATCTTCAGCAGTAAACAAATTTTTCCCTCTCATATTAATCTGAGATACTTGCTTCTTTCTAATCCTCAACAGTTCTTTAAAATGAGCTCTTTAAAATGAGAAAAATGAATTAATCTCTGTTGATAGGCTGTATGTAGGTAGTCATATGAGTTACTGCCTATGCCAGTTGTTATAATATTTAAGTCGCAATAAAGGAACCAATACCCTAAAAGCAATCCACATCGCTTTTCCTGAACATCATTGAAGTCATTTAAGTCCCTCTTGAAATGTAGTACCAGGGACTGAAGGCGATCCTCCAGTTGTGCTCATTTTCAGCCTTTTATTAGGCTGGAGAGTAATGTGAATAAATTTCCACACTGTTTTCCAGGGGAGGCACAGCCAAGTCTACAACAAGAAGGGTAATTACACTTGATGCCACAAGATACAGTTAACTGTGTCATCGGTATCAATAGCAGTAGAGTATGTTCTATCGAGAATGCCATACATCTTAACTCCAAATAAGAGTCTATCAATAATCATATTTTATATTATAGGTGAAAAATAGGTTACAGAAGTTTTAAATAATTTACCAGAACCGGGATAGCATGGTAACAATACTGATGGACAGTAAGGAGGCAGGTTTGGTTTCCATGTGGAAACAAAACAAAACAAAACACCTGACAGGCTGTTAGTTTTCTAACACCTACTGTAGACCTTGAAAATTTTCACATATACCAAATGACCTCTTAGACAACGGTCAGCAGCAGACAGCAGAGCAGGTCCTGTAACAGCTTAATTAGTGCCAGCAATTAACCTCTAGGCAGAGAAAGCAGAATCTCTCCAGCTAAAATTTATATTTCATTGACTGTGTACTTTCAAGAGTTCAACCTAACACAAACTAAGAAGTGGGAAAGAGAAACAGAACAATGCTACGCTACTGACAGCATTTTTATTAGAGAAACTCATAAAGTTACAAGGCTGACAGTGACAATTAGAAAGACAATTGTGGGCCTGGGATTTAGCTTGGTGGTGCATGTGCTTGCTTGGTAAAGTGAAGGTCATGAGTTCGATCCTGGGTACCAAGAAAAGAGAGACAATCTCAGGCACTAGAGAAGAGAGTTGGGAAGAGCCATTCCCTGTGACCACACATCCTGGTTATTTTACTGTTTAACTTACAAGAGTCAAACTCCATCAAGGGATAAGGTACTGTGAGGCAGAGTGCAGATCAGAATAATTAGTGCTTGTATTTATTTTGGCACGTGTAAACCTGGTAAGCTATTGTCC